TTCACCCTGCCTGCTGTGGGAAGGGTTGGCCACAGCCGGGGCTTATTTCTTCCCTGTCTCATCGAGGGCAGACCTTGCCAGGCCCTCATCGACACCAGTTCGACCATCACCCTGCTTCAGCCTGGTGTCCTGCCAGGCACCGTGGCAGCCGGACCCCCAGGGCACTCACCGTGCACTTTGGGGCTGCGAGGGTGAAACACCCCTTCTATCTTGCCCCAGTCCGCGAGGACTGTATCCTGGGGTTAGACTGGTTGTAGCAAGTGGGTGGTTGCCTTGACCTGGGCATGAGGGACAGGGTGCTGCGCCAGGGGTGGCGGGTGATGTGGCTCCTGGGCGATGTGCCCCCTCTCCCCTCTCCTCTCCTCGAATACGGCATCAGCCTGCTCAGCCAGAGCCAGGGGCTGCTCCAAGAGGATCAGTGCAGCCAGCATCACCAGGGCCCAGAGGAACGCCTGGAGTGCTATCTCCTGGTGGGCCTCCTCTGGGAGAGTAGGGTAACCCTGGCGGGCTAAGTAGGCCACGTCTGCGGCGACTGGACCCAGTGGCTCTCCCGGGAGGTCCTGGCGCCTCCCCTCTCCTGCCAAAACGCCTCCGGAAGGCCGACGCCAACACCGTGTAGTTGTACCGCTGGTCCCCGGGTACATCCAGCAAAACCTGGCAGGGCTTCCCCTCCAAGACGGCGGTGAGGTGGCCCAGCATCTCCACCTGAGACCAGCTGTTTGTCCAGGCTGCCATCTGGAACTGGGCCTCAAACATGTGCCATGGGATCTCCCCATTATAACGGCTCGATCTCACTGGCGCAGGCTGGAGCAGGGGTGGCGGGCTGGACGCCACTGGTCTGGCGTCTCTTTCCTGTAACATGGCCTGAGGCGACCCGGGAAAGGGCCCCCCTTCCGCTGAGTAGTTCACTGTGGGGTAGCCCTGATAAGGGCTCTGGCCACTGGCAGTACTGAGGGGTCATCCCGGCCCCTGGCGGCTGCTGCTCGCCCCCAAAAGGTGCTTTAGGGGGTCACTCGGCTGCTGGGGGAACCGGTGCTTCTCTGAGTCCGACATCATCGTCCGTTCACTGTCCATCCTCCCGCTTCTAACACCAATGTAATGAATTTGGGTTCGTTGAGGACGAACACAGAGACTCAAACCTGTGGAGTTAAAAACTGCGCTTTATTTCTTCTACGCTTCTCAAAGCACTTTACAGGATAACAACAACAATAACAACAACAATTTACAAGTTCTGGGAGGAAAAATATGATCAATATTAATAATAATAATAAACTTTATATAGCGCCTTTAAAGGTGGCTCCTCAAAGCGCTTTACAGGATAACAACCGATGAAACAACATTGGTTGGGGGTTGAAAATACCTGTGAAACCGGTTTGTTCACAATGTACTGTAGACACAGAGTGTTACACCAACGCATTAGCATGTTAAAGCGATTCCATTGAGGAGCCGGGCGTGATAATTGTTTTGTTCCTTGATACGGTATCTGATCTGCAAGGCCATTTGAAACAAAACAAAAACTAAAAATAAGATACAATCTACAGACATTCACAACATAAACATATCTTAAAACATGTACATATATTGTTGAATTATTACTTTAGATATATACTTTAGGTTACTGAAACTGCCAGTTAATAAAATCGTTGCAATTTTGTTCTTGTTTGGAGGTGGGGATATTCTGAAAATTGTATTTAAAGACAATCCGTCAAAGTGCAATGAAACAATAATTACGCTGGGTGAACATTCCGAGGTCAAATTCTTCCGCGATAGGGGTACCTTTAAAGCGCAGACGACGGCACCGAAAAATGAAGACAGTACATACAGTTATACGTTATATATGAGTACAGTTATATATGAGTTGTCGCCATCTTTAACATGTTCAAAAAAAAAGTTAACCCCAGCTACAATACATTATTTTTAATATTTTTGTGGTAAGAGGGAGCAAAACATCCATATTTACGGCTAGTAATTAGTGGACGATCTATAGTTGAAATCTGAGCCTAAATAAAAAGAAAAAGCATTTTAAGAGAGCAATTACGCTGTGTTTATGTAGAATAAGTGATTAGGTTTATGAGCAATCTAATTACTTATTCGTTTAAAATGCTATATAAAATAAAGTTTATTATTAATTTGCTGGACAGAATGGTGAACATTATTATGCAGAAGACAAAGATAACGATTTACCTTAAAAGACATTTAATTAAACAAGGGTTTGTGATTTAAATGGAAATGGGGGTGACAGGAACTCTTAATCTAAATAAAAATAAAATAAATAAAACAGGTTTCGATAGTTAATAACCACTTTTTATGCACGAAACACGGGTGATTTTTCTTCCTCCTGATCAGTTTAGAAATCTGTGTACGCTCTAAGGTTTTTACTTCTTAATTAAACTTTTAAAGTACACGTTTCAAATAGAAAGAAATCCTCTTCCTGATACAGTATGTATAGCAGATCAACACGTCTTTTTTCCCCAGAGGGGTGTCAATGGTGTCAGCCAATCACCATTCTGAAGCCCTACCGTAATCTCTGGTATAGGGAGTCCCCAGAATTCTGTCCCATAGTTTAGATAGATGATACTTTTATTGATCCTGTGAGGGAAATAAAGTAAATCATTTTCATTTTAGGAATTTATTAAACGCTCGGTTAAAAGCAAAGGAGATTGTCTGTTATAGTGGACATAAAAATAAATTGCTGGCATTATATCCTAGAAGACAAAGACTGGCTCCAGACCGAGAGAATGCCTGCAGCGTAAAAGAAAATGCCTACACTAATGAACTAGGGATTGGACAGTTTCCAAGTGCTTGTGCAGTCGATGGAAATGTTCAAATAAATGTGCAAAAGAAATAAACAAAATAATCATTTATTTCTTTATCATATTGGCTCTCTATGTCCTCTCTTTGCTAGTTAGTGGCTGTGTTTGTGCGTTGGGTAGCAAAGGCTGAGTATGTTCTCAGGCGGAAGATGTAAACAGCTTAATTTTCGAGTTAAATATTTTTTTTTAATTAAAATTCGTTCTATACAGCAATCGCATATCTGGGTACCGTTTCATAAAACTTCCATGCTTAAAATGTTTAGGGAGAAATGGAAGACTGGTGTATATTTTTTCTTTAAACTACCAAGACCAGCCATATACAGTACAGTTTACATACAGTAATGTTTGTGGTCCTAAATTAATATCGTTTATGACCTTCAGATGCGTTATGCTCCTCTTCTTTTTATGCTCAGCTACTAAAATTTCCCTTTAGTGGTAAAATTTCATATAAATATTCAATACTAAGTGGATTAAAATGTGCACAGTAAAGACATTAAATGATTAAATCTTTTCACTACCGACCAATGCACCACGAGTGCCCCTGTCGGTCATTTTGGCCAGCCAATCACTTACCGCGGTGCCCTGCGGTGGCTTGTGGGCAGTTTCCCGTACCGCTGGTTTGTACCATGCATTTTGAATGGCTGGATCTGTACATTCATGTAATTATCATTCCTTTTGTTGTTGATTAATAAAAAATGGAACCCTGTTGGAAGAGATATTCAGAAAATGTGTCGGGGTACTTATGAATTAGCTGGAATACATTTTTAATTTTGCTGCTACCTGGGTTACCAATTTGGAATACTTTTTTTGTTGTAATTTCCTGACATAATGCTGTTAACAACACTTGCCAAATCTACTCTCATTTGCTTTCTGCTTGCTTGGTCTTTTATATCTTATTCCATATCCCCATATGCAGATCAGAGGTTTAAGCATGCCATTTCATTGTTGATTGCTGCAACACGATTCCGCCCACAGTGGATTTACTGTCTTTGCAAAAGGATTTGGTATGAACTGTGGATTGGCTGAATATTAAGATGCACTGTTTAAATTAAAATTGAAATGCATCATTAAGGACTAACAATATTCCAAACAGTTTGAGTTATATATATATGGGAATAAAGTGCTTGTGTACCAGTTAATCAACTTATGCACTACGTGTTGAATACAATCATTTTATAACATAGATTGTAAAACATAACAATATACTCAATACAGTATATCAATTGCAAATCAATTACTTTAACAAAAAAGACTAGTTCACTGCAATTGCAATAATATATAATATAACTCAGTACATCTATCTGTTTGGGTTTTGAAACCTTTATTGATCCAATTGGTTAATTTTTAACTGTTTTCTAAACTCTTTTTTTTGTAAGATTTACAAATCTTTGCATTTATGTGTATCATTTCTCAAACAATCATCACAAGTAACATTTTAAACTAGGTTGTCCAAAGAACTCCAACCTGTTACCCATTAAAGAGATAAATAAGACACTTGAAAGGAAATAACACTATTTCAAATGCAAACAAATGGTCACAGTGCAAAGGCATGTTGGTTAAATTCTACCAACACAAGTAAACCACATGTAAGTTTTGAAATCCAGAACCTGGCACAAGGCAAATGTTAATGTGTCATTTGTCCTATTGTTTAAGAGGAAACAAAATAGTTCCAGAATTATTTTTTCTCCAGAAGAACAGGACAATAAACATTTTTTGTGTCTTGGCAAGGAACATTATATATGGAAAATGGAATGGAAAAAGTCAAAGACAGACTATTCTCTGTGTGTTTAATCAATATAAAATTGACAGATGTTCTTAATTTGTTTTTTGAATGAAGCAACAAGCACTCCTCACAAATAATTATAACAATATTACCAGGTATCATTTTTTACTATGACTGGAAGCATAACTTTCTTCCATTTTACAATCTTGTTTTATCTTGTTTTGAGTAGTTTATTGACTCTGAAGATTTATTCTTCATTAATCAAAATATTGGATGAAGATAGTTGCAGCATAGGAAAAAACAATGTCTTCAATAATCAAAGTTACTTGAGTACATCTGACAAACAATCCAGAACTTAAATTCGCTATGACATTTTTTTTTTAAAACATTGGAAATAAGTTGCAGTAATAAATTCAGAACAAAAGGGTTTAAATTTATTTTGTCAAGTAATGACCCAAACAAAGATCGTGTGATGACAGCCATTTATACATTTTTTTCTGCAAGAAAACAGATACTGTATTTTAACTGCAGATTACACTGTATAAAAGATTTCACATTAAAGCATAAAGTAATCAGCAAAAAAATTGATTTCAAATCACTCTACATATTCTTTTTTTTTCATTTTACTGAGAGAGAAAGAAAGACATCTTTGCATTTGATAATTCTGTAATGGGTACATTTCATGAAAGCAATACAAAGTTAAAAGGATCATGAGAGGTAAATGCATAACCAAATCAAACACATTTAAATATATAATACACAAATACAGACTTTTTTACCCCAAAATCTCCACACGGTGTCACAATGAAGGTAAATATACTGCAAAAAAAGATGCAAAAATTGTCTTTGTGAGAAGTCATGAATATTTTAAGTAGACAATTGTAGTTCCAGTTGTTTCATAAGAGCTTTACTGTAAATGGATGCTCAGTACAAGAGTTTCTCTTCCTTTCTTGCCTTGATAAAAGTGCTTCTTGTGTGGATAATTAGAATGCATTGGGTGCAGAGAGGTGGTTGGAAGTTAGGGTCAACTGTGTTGTCCGCTCCGTGGAAATAGCAGGCAATTTTCTCTTTGCTTTAAGAAGAGAAAGTGATATTGGAAAAAGTCAGCACTTAAAACTATAGTAAAGCACCCTTCACAAAGCCACAAACAAGAAGCAGGACAGCAAGTCCGTAGCTTGTAGCTATCCTCGTACCTGCGAAAGAAGTTATAAGATATTCGCTCATCTTGCAGATTTGCAATGCTTCTTATCAGGCCACTGTTTACACATTTACTAATATGTTGAAAATACGTTAGCACCTTGGCTATGGTGCTCTTGGCTATCTTAGCATGCACTATAAATAACACATACAACCTTTCTCAGTCCATTGTAAAATCATTGATAGTTCAGATGCAAGTCATTTGCAGTAGGGTAAGCTTCCTCTCAGTCTCGCATTTAATTTATCATTTAAATTCTATACACTACACAATTGTTGTATAAGCAGAAAAAAGTATCAACATGATAGCTGATATACTGTATAATTATACTTATGCATTGCATACTGTATATACAATAGTATAAACCTGTACACAAAATATTTTCTGTATTATATACTGTAACATATTTTTTAATATTCTGCATAATATACTTCCCTTTTTAGAGACAGCCAAAGTTGTATGCACTCATATACTGTATATTATTATCTTGAAAAACATAATTTTAAATGTGACATTTAAATACAGTATGTGCTTAAGCGACTGCTCTATACTATTTCAAAAAGGCAAATGTTAATACTGTATATACTCATACCAAAATGAAATAATTATTATACTAACAAGGATAAGATTGGAAAAGAACAGTAAACACAAGTGGCATTCCTTGCTGTATGTAAACTAGCCTAAGCACTTAAGCGTTTGGAAAAAAAAGACCATGGAATTTCACACTTATTTAATCATGTAGAAGTGCCTTAAGCATGTTGTAGGCCTTTGCATTTTTACTTCTCTCTGTATCTTTGGGACTCTTTAAGATTTGAAGAACTTGAACTTGTAGTAAAAAGGACAAGTCTGAAAAAATGAATATGCTTATGAATTTCAGTACCAAAGAATGCAATGATTACTGAGAAAACAGAGAAACAAATTGGATGTATACCTTTCAGATTCTAGTGCAATTTATGGAAAATCAGAGATTAATTGAGTTGATCAACATGGTATTGTTATATTTGTAATAAATATTGCATTGCATTTAGAATGAATGACCATGAAAAAGAAGAAAATCAAAACCAGATGTGAGATTATTTTGCTATATACTGTGATCTTCTTTATTTTTAACTGTTTTTTTTTATTTAGTCAAACACAAGAGCTTAACAATATCCAACTATTAATGGTAATATGCATATTCCTGGTAAATGTTTCAGTAACCCTTAGCCTATCCTGGAAGCATAATATGCTAAATTGGATGATACACTGGACAGAACACCACCTCATGGTACATGCATGGTAGATGTCTTCTCAAGCCAGAATCAAACCCAGGACACAACAGCTGTGAGTTAGCTGCACCAAGCCATAACTACACAATAGTGCACGTTTATGTTGTAACACTCTGTCTGAGGTACTTATTGTATCTTTAAAAATAGCAAATGAAAGCAAGTGCATCTTTAGAGTAGGATAGTGTAAGGTGTTTAAAAAAAACTACCTTGACCATGTTTTGTATCAGATTAAGCAAAACTTTTCATTGTAGAATTGTCTTGGAGACTTTACTCCTGTGAAGATTTGGTCAAATACACCATATTATTATTAAATTATTATTTAAAGCATGCTAAACGCAATATAATGGTACTGTAAAAACTAAAAAATCTAAAAAAAGTATTATACAGTACTGTATATAGTATTGTGACATGATTTAATGTGCATTTTGTATGTTATAACACTATATTAAAATTAACTTGACAAGAAATAGCCTTTTAATTATCACAGTGGCGTTTTGTTGATTTCCTGACTCTAACGATAGGCATACAATAATAAATGAGGGAGAATGCCATGACTGTGTTTATGGTGTTTATAACAAAGTGCATAGTGTACACTTTATTTTGTTGTATTCACACTTAACATTGACGCTATTTTAATAACTGTTGGGGCAGATACTATTTATATATTCTTTTTTCACCCAGATGAAATTCCGTCCAGCTCACACGTTCTCACATTGACAAAAAACATTTTCCAGCCCTGAAAAACATGTCCTTGGTTATTTCCACTTTTGATAAAATGCTTGGATATAATTTTTAATGGGATATAATGTTGAAAGAAAACAGTGAAGATTAACCTGTTACAAATGTTTTACTCTATTTTTTCATTTAAAGTGACCATTTTTCTCTTCAACTGTAACCTAAAAATAAATGACAAATTTAATATTTATCCATCCGTTTTCCTACTATTTATCCAATACAAGGTCTCAGGTAAGCCAGAGCCTATCCTGGCAAGCAATGAGTGCAAGACATTATACACTCTGGACAGGATGTCAATCTATTGCAGGGCTCACAGACATAAATATGCACACACTCACACCAGGGCCAGTTTCTTCAGAAGCCAAATAAACCTACCAGTACATCTTTGGTCTGTAAGAAAAAAAAAGAGTCCAGAGGAAACTCATGTAAATACTGATCCCTGTAAACACAGCATCCAAGGACCTGAATCCAGGGCCCCAGTACTATAAGGACACTTTACAAATCACTATACCACCATCTTCCCCAGGTTTATACAGTAAGTAACATAATTTTATTGTAAGGTGTGTTTTACCGTTTACTTCATTATGTGTGGTTATGGTATGGTATGCATTTTATTGTGGTTGTGGATCTTGTTCTCATTTTTATCCATATCTCAAATTATTATGAAAATATTAGGGAATTTGGTGGCTCTTATTATTTTCTTTGGTGGCTCTGTGAATATCTATCCTAAACACGAAGTTATAGTATGTTTGTCCAGTTATGGGTGCCTGTGATATGGTACTGATACTTAATTACCATAGCAAAAACAATCTCACTAATTTGCCACATTGCCACACGTAGCTACATGTTTATGTGAATCATCAGTTTACGTTTTATTGAGATTACAAAAGATGGAATAAAAACCCTGGACGAAACTTGATGTAGCTGCAATCAAATAAAGGGTACAGCAAAAATGATAAAGGACTCAGCTGTTTCTAGGTTCTGTTCATTTTATTTTGTCTGGGTGCATTATGAAAAGATTACATATTTTATAATTGAATTAAATTGTAGGTTTAAGGTATAGCCAGTTATGTTTTTTTTTTCCTTTTCTCTTTTAAGAATTTTCTGAAAAGCTTATTATTTGTTATCAACGTTAAAAACGTTATTGGGTCACACTTACAGTATAACCCTATTGGTTTCTACCGATAATTCTTTAAGGCACAATAATCTTTCAAAGGCAGAATTAGATGATGTAATACTTTCTATTCTATAAACATTATTATTATTTTTTTGCATGTTCCTGAATTTTAGCTAGCTACTGTAAGAGTTCAGCACTGTTTTCTTCTTATCTGCATAGTTCAGAGTCACTTGTCATTCATACCAAATCCCAGCATAAATTTAAATCAAAGCAAATACTTTCCGTCTTGCGTAAAACCTGACTGATGAATGCACTGTTTTTCAGGCAAGAGCAGCAGAAAAATAATTTCAATGAGATGTACTGTATATGTAATTGTTAAATTAAAGAGTGATTATTATTTGTCTAATTATTCCATTCATAATCATTCAATTATCAATGATAAATATTAATATATTATTTTGATACTATTTAATTAATTAATATAGTGATCTAATTATTAATTTATTAATTATGAGGTAATGGTTATATATTCATAATAATTACATTCTGTACTGTTCAACAGGGTGAGTGGCTTAATTTAAACAGAGAAACATACCATACCATTTTTCATTTTTCATAAAAGTTAATGTTATTACTTATATGAATAAATTCATGATAAACCTTATGCTACACTCATACAAATGTAGCAGTAAAGAAGCACATTTTTATAAAGGTTTTAAGAGTAGGTGTAATGTTACTAAGGTTCACAGCATGAAACTAAGAGATACTACTTATTCTTATCCAAGTAAGGTTGTGGTGTAATCAAATTTGTCCTATTAGAATTTTCTTGTAATTACATGTTTAATACACTTTTGATGCAAAGTCATTACATTTTTAACTAAAATACAGTTGATGTATTTGTATTATAAAGCATATACTTGTTAAACACACATCATACTGAAATAGATTTAAAAAAACTCCTTACGGTACTTAGTGAGCATGTTAAAGATTAAAAAATCTATTTTTTCACAATAATTCTGTGTTAATTGATATGCATGAAACACACACTCAAAAAATCTGATTTATAAATTAAAAGCTTTCAGCAGAAATATAGTAATTGAAATCTTACTGATTTATATATTTTTTTTCCGTTCTTAGATAACAGAAGTAATAGGAAGAGGAGGAGGAGAAGGATGAGAACACAGCTTGTGATAATTACAAGTGAACTCAACACTTCATGCTTTATAAAGATCAAACAAATCAGCTAAATAATTATTATGCAAAACCCCTCTGTCAAAATTAGAAACACCATGTCTCACACTCAGTACCGATTATATCGGGTAAGTCCTCTCTTATGTGGGTAAATTAGGCAAACAATCACTTCATATGATTTCATATGTTTTCTTATTGACAATTACTTCTGAAAAGGGCAAAGGAATCTATGTTTTAAAGTGCAGTTGTCATGTAATCTTACTTTGCTTTGTCAGTCATGAGCCCAGAAAAACGAAAAAGAGGAGAGTTGACTGAAAGGGCAGCTTCCCATCACCTTGAAAAATCCCTTGGCTACAGAAATCACTCACAGAAGTCAAATGGCATATTTAGAATATGCCATTCCAATACGACACAGTGAAATGGGCAGAAATTAAAAATCAACATGTTAGGTAAGTTAGACGAAAAGATGAAGTGATAACATCACAACAAACAAACAATTATATATTCAATTAGACAAACACACAATAAAGGTGTAGGGAGAATTATGAATAAAACTGTCAAGAAATCACTAATGAATTGTCAACAGTTTCAGACATTATACTTACAGCAGGAATCCAATCTCAACATATCAAGTACACCATAGACCAAGAGTATACACTAACAATGCCAAGTAAAATAACAAATAAAGATTCTATAAAGAAATCAAATAAATTCTAATTCATCAAATAAATACCAAATTAAGATCATGCCTTGGTTAAAGGGGACTTTGATTAGAAAAGACAGAAGGCAATGGAAAAATGGATAATGGCTGATGTAAAACAGGAAAGACTTCTTGAATTAAGTGCTGGCAACATCACAACAATCAGCATTCATAATTCTTTCTTGCAACATAAAAACATTCAGAAGAATGTTTCTTCATATAGTCGAATACAGAATGAGACTGGGAAGAGGGTCTCTGATCCATGTATTCAGATAATTCAAAAGCATTGACAAAGTTAAACTAGTAACCTTTTTCAGAGTTAACAGTAAAATAAGGACTGAAGGTCGCATGGAAACTATGTAGACTATGCAGAAATACACTGCAATCTGAGAACAGGGTGTACTTCTTTATATAAAGGGTGTTAGGACATGAAATAAGCTACCCAGTCATATTGTTGAAGCAGAAATTCAGAAATCCACGTCTTCGTTCCAAAATTAACTGAGGGAGGGAGAAACAACATAAAAAATCTACAATGTTCTGAGGCAGACATTACTGAGTTAAACTCCTGGAAACTCAGGAAAAGCAAGACAATTTGAGGGTAAAACACTTTAAAGCAGTGTGAAAATGGTAAATATAGTCTGAAATAGAATAATCCAAACTTTCCAACCTTATTTTACTAATATGTATTAGTAATATGTATTTTACTGAATGTAAACAAATGTAAGAGTCTGGCAGATGGATAAGTAGAGGCAGAAATTTAAAACGCTAGAGAAGGGGGAAATCTTCACATATCTTGGCAGATAAACAAGCCAAGATGATTCCACTTCCAGTGAAGTAAGAATAAAAATTGGAAAGTCAACAAACAGTTCTTTTAGAAAGCTTAATTAAAAACATGAACCAAAATTGAGCGTGCATAATGGTATCATCATTGCCATAGCTACACATAAACACCTAAGAAAGATATTCAGAAACCAGATGCATTTGCCATAAATGACTTAGAAGAATACCAGGAATTACTTATAAGGATTGAAAAATTAATGAAGAAGGCAGAATAATCACTGAAGTGCACTTTCACACTTAACTTGCCAGCAGCCATATCACCCTGCAACTCACAACTGGCAATCCACTGAAGTTAAGCAGGTGTGAGCCTGGTCAGTACCTGGATAACATCACTTTAATAACATAACTTTATTAACCCTATACAATTTCTTGCATTAGGAATTTGTCTTTTCGCATACCCCAGCTTGCTCTCCATGATGGGAGACCTCCTGGGAAAAACTAAGGTTGCTGCTGAAAGGTTAGTGGGGCCAGCAGGGGTGGTCTATGGGGGCAGCCTGTGGTTTATTTGGGTCCTAATGCCCCAGTATAGTGACAGGGACACAATAGTGTAAAAAGGCGCTATCTTTCGGATGAGACGTAGAACCGAGGTCCTGATTCTCTGTGGTCCTTAAAAATCCCAGGCCGTTTCTCGAAAAAAGTAGGGGCCCCATAGTCCCTTAACAATCATGGTCTCCTAATAATCCTCACCTATGAATTGGTTTACTCTGTTCTCCTCCCCACTAATAGCTGATGTGTGGTGAGTGTTCTGGTGCACTATGGCTGCCGTCGCATCATCCAGGTGGATGCTGCACATTGGTTGTGGTGGAGGGGAGTCCCCACTACCTGTAAAGTGCTTTGAGTGGAGTATCCAGAAAAGCACTATATAAGTGTAAGCAATTATTATTATTATTATTATTATTATTATTATTATTATAAATCTAAAAGAGAAGACATGAATATCTGGAGAATTATTATAAATGGATTAGACCGTTTGTTGAGTACTGCCAGCAATTGTAGACTACCAGAAAATGCAAGAAGGAAATGAAGGAGACTCAGAACAATATGGCACAGGACAACACCCAACTATCTATAGAATATACTTTAAAATAAAATGGATAAAGGGATAACATGGAAACAACTGGAGACTGTAGTGGGCAATGGATGGACATAGTGAACATGACTCCAACTGTCATACTGAAGGTAATCTCCTACATACAGAACAATTTGGAAGATTTTCAAGTAGTTGAATTATGGGAGTCCACAACATTCAGCGATAAAGTATTAAGTATTAAGTAAAGTATAAGAGTTTACTTTATTCAGTTGTGAAAATAATGCAAAATCGTTTATTCAAGGAAATTAATGTTTATTTAAAGCACTTTTTTTACTGACCTCTGGCCACGTAAGCTTTGAAACAAGCCAAAATCAAAGCTTCAACTCTGTGAACCCTGTAACTGTTTATTAGGGAATTAATAGAAAACACAGTATTTCAGTGTATAGTCTATGTTAAATTCGAAAGTTTACTGCTTTTTGCTGTATAATAAAGTATACTCTAGTGAATAAATATAATTTTGTTCAATATTAACATAACATGCATTAGATAAATATAGCTAAATCTCTGAACAAAAAAGCTGTCATATGTCATAACCTACAGTAATTGTTTTTGTTTTTGTTTGATATAAGACATTTTGTCTTTGATAAGATAGACAAAGGGCTTTATTTTTATATATTGCTTCTACAGTATGTTGCATACAATGATGTTGGTTCTATAGGAAGATGGCTTTCACACCTTCCTGAAAAGAACTGGTATGAAATGTTACCTATTAAAAGCTTAGTAATATTAGTTATTGAATTGAGATGTTATTGTATTTACTGAAATTATTGTTGCAGTTTCCACATAAAAATATGTATTACTAAAAATACCAACCAGCTATTCTGCAATTGGAATGGATAGTTTTCAGCACCTGTATTTTCTAAGTCCAGTATAAACTGTTTATGCCGCATATGTTGACCAGAAATTGAATGATGCTTGAGGCTTCATTGTTGGATATACTGTATAACACATTTCAAACTGGGAAAGCAAAAGAATCATTGTTGTAAACTACAGTATGTGCAGCAACGGACTTGCACTTTTTCAGGAATTTGATAATTTTATTTGGGTACGGAGATGTTATTAATATGGTTTGTACATACAGCTAGAAAGTTACTTCTGATTGAAAATTCATACCTGAACCAGGACTGTGTTTTAGTATTTTGGATGCCGTCGTTTGAGAGCTAGAGGTAGAGTGAAGTTGTTGGTTCTCAGAACTCACTCCATTATCAGCTGCAGCTGACATATTCATTTTTCTTGGCTTTTTATCTGTCAGAGGCAAAGGTTCCGTCTTCTTGACTGGCTGGTTTCGTAGGCGATTTGTGCTGTTCACTTGAAGATACGCTTGAGCCTTGTATTCCCGGAGTGCCTCATAGTTGGCATCAGTTACTCTGCATTCATACAAACCTTCATCTTGTTTTCCTACTTTGGAAATCTGTAGCTTGTGGGAAATGTCATTTCCTTGAACCCTTACTGTCTGCACAAATACAAAAAGAAACATTTTCTCAACAAACAGCATTACTGTATTAACGGTGTAAGAAATAGAGCTACAAAAAGAAAGATGATTACACTGCATTTCTAAAAGTTAGAGAAATGTCTGAAAAAATAATTTTTATAACACTATTGTATAACATGCATATATACAATAATATTCAAAATTATGAGATTTCAAGTTTATCATTTATTGACTTCTACATATGCACACAAATGTAAACACAAATTAATAAAACAAACAACTTTAGCTTATGACTAATGATATCATGAAAACTACATTGAAATTCTGAGAATACCATTCTGTTCTATTAGGTTCAGCTGCAATGGAATAGCATAACAGATTAAATACTAATGTACTCCATGATTCCATGTATCGTTTATATTTTAATAATAATAATAATGTTTCTTTATTAGCCCTATACAATTTCTTGCATTAGGAATTCATCTTTTCGCATACCCCAGCTTTTCTCCATGGAGACACAGACACACAGACAGGGAGAGAAGCTTGGGGTCAGAGCGCAGGGTCTGCCATTGTACAGCGCCCCTGGAGCAGTTAGGGGGGGGCCCAACGGAGTAGGATTCCTCTGCCAGCTGTGGGATTTGAACCAGCAACCTTCCAGTCACAGGCGCAGATCCTTAGCCACAGAGCCACTGCTCCGCCCCAATATTCTAGTCATCATTTATTCAAATGTTTTTCTTTTCAAAGTATTATTAATTTTATTTGGTGCTGTATGACACAAGGCAAAACAGAGAGCTAGAAATAAAACAAGTAATTATCATTTACACAGATATTTTAGAGTCTGTTCTATAATAGTTACAAAACACAATTATTTATATTTCAGTGCTTACACTTATTTTAGTCCCCTCGTCATCTGGATCACTTCCTGGATTTAATTTCACCTTAAGATAAATTAAAGATTGAAAATAAATTAAAATGTGAAGGAGAAGAAACATTCAAATGTGTCAAAGTAGAATGTTTGCTTGAAGGTAGTTTCAGTATAAAATGCTTGCCAAACAAATCACTTGACACTATAGTAACTATCACATGGTAGCCTGTTCAGCAAAGCCAAGTGGGGAAGGATTTTTCTTAGCATTCAATCAGAAAACAAAATACTCCCCATTCCCTCTGTTCAAAAACTACCACAAATCAGCACTTGTACTCAAAGAACATGAAGTAGTCTTAAATCTTAATAGCTGAAGACATTCATGGAATATAGAATAGAATACTTTTTAGGATAAAGTATTTCTACCAGTGTCTACACATCTTTTGTGGTAGCACCAAATTTGCTTTAGTGAAATAATATACTGTAAGTAGGAACCCAGCACTTTGATTAGTAAGGTCAGCATTATTGGAAATAAATGAAAACAATTCACCCACCCCTCAACTTCTGAATATAATTCATATGTAAACTGTTTATGAGGTGAAAATGTATAAATAATAATCAAATTACTTTACATGTACTGTAAGACCTTCTATTTCTCACACTCCAAAAATTACCTAATATTACTTTGCTTTACCCTAACAGAGCAATGAATCATCATAGTAAGAACATTTGTTTGTCCATGATAATTATACATTTTAGTCTACTACAGTAGTCAACAAAATAAAGTAGTGTGAAAAAATTCTAAAACGCAGACACTCCTAAAAACACAGGAGCTGTGTTGTGGGTGACTGTAGTAGGAGGTCAAACTAATTGCATGATGTCTTCAATTCAACTTTGTTGTAGTGTTGTTTTATTCATAAATTACTGTAGGTGTTTGTAAATTGAGGGATGAATGTATTGCAATATAGTATACCGAGATGTTTTCAATAAACACTCTGAAGGTAATGGTTTCATGTTTTATCCAGAAGATAGACAAAAGTTAATCAACTGTTTTAATAAGCCATAGTTAGTTTTCCTGCAGCCTGTCTGGGTTATCCAGGTTTAGTGATCACAGATGCCTGAAAGATGGTGAAGTGTATCCAGGATTTGACTGCACATGCTGCGTTAAAAGTTCTGGCACTCAGACAGTATGAAGGTGTCTTGGGAAATGGGGATACTGAGATGCATTTATGCCACAGTGCATAATCTCTTTAATATTTCACACAAAACATCATATTTTACTACTGTAAGGACAACTAACTACACATGTCTATAAAAACAGCATAACCACAACCATTGCCCTATCAGTTGTGGAGGTTCTGTTTCCTTCCCAAAATTAATCTCAAAATTATTGATTATCTTACGGAGTAGGCACATACAGTATAGGGAAATGTGTTGTAAGTCATATTATCTGATAGGGTATATATGCTTGTTTCCTGGTAACAAGTAAGTTTGTATCCATTCCCCACATAGAACATTTCTGAATAATGGAGGATTTGTGGTCTTTCAGAAATGTGATTTTTGTTCATATTGTATATGACTTTCAAAATTATTCAAAAGTATAATGTGCATTTCACAGCATGTCATTGCTATAAGAATGTTCTTTAATTAAATGTAGTTTGTTTAATTAAATTTAGTTTGTCTGGGTGTTGAGCAAATCGAGAACATAATATTGTAACACCAACATCTTACAGCACATGCAGGCATGTATTACTTACTTATTTCTTCTGAATAATGTGGAGTGAAAGCACAGTAACACACCTGAAGCACAGGCCTGTCACTTTGTTTGCATGATACTAGCAAAATGTCATAAGCACTTAGACTACTCTTAAGCTATGGTAGTTTTTTAACTGGAATATTATGTTTTCAGCAGGGCTAGTTATGAATATTATTCCAGTGAGTTAAAGAATGTATATATAATATTACTTGTCCTGTCCGATTTTAATATTTTTAAGTAACTCATGCAGTAATTCCCCTATAATTATTGCAAATTCAGTATTGTCATAAACCATGAAACAAATTTCTAAAAGTATTTCTTTGAAACTTTGAAAAAAGTTGCTCTGAAAATTAACTTTACAAAAAACATTACACAAAATTTTTGATTTTTTATTTACAGTGCCAAAATACATCCTCTTACTAGCAAAGAGTCATATGATGTATTGATAACCCTTCATTGCACAAATATTACATGTACAGTATTTGATATCTGGCCTTTCTGGAGATCAATACACTTTAGATTGTGCAACAAAGACTTGTGCCTTTTAACAGACTCTTAACAGATGTGTTTAATTTTTTCTTTAAAATTATGTTTTATACATTTTATTTCCTAATAAAATTAAAACTGCTTGACTAAAATGTGACTAAAACTAATTCTGTTTTAGTCATCTTAAAGTAACTATAGTCGACTACACTAAATTTAAAGTGGGTGACTAGAAAGTCACTATGACTAATAGACACTTGAGTCAACTTGACTAAGACTATGACTAAATCAAAAACTGGTGACCAAATGAACACTGCAAGAAAGTTACTTGTAGGTCTGGGAAGACTGAAAGTTACAGTATGTTCTGGAGCAGTGGTTCTTAAATGGTGGTACGCGTACCTGCAGTGGAGTGCCGCCAGGTGGTACGCCAAATGACCCTGGAACTGTGTTGTGTGCGCTGAAAAATCAGGATGGGTTTTCATATTTTGTATTTTAATACATGTCGAATACGCAGCCTACGTACTACGATACAGTGCGCGCTAATACTTCAGTAGACACAAGAGATACTCTGTAATTCTAAACCACCAGGAACGGGTGCTACGGACGCAAGTGACCAATTGTATTTTAAAAAAAGCTACTGTATCTCCAGCAAATAGAGAGGTAGGAGAATGTGCGTGATTTTGGAACAATGCCAACATTGTAAACACAGGAATGCATAGAAATACAAGCTATGAATGTTGGTAATCTTGTGAGCACAGGAAAGCATGATAGATAACAGAAAATATTTAAGAACTGTTCTAAGTTAATTTGAGAAAAATACACCGAGCGTCTCTGTGTTTCGCTCCCATGTGCATGAAATAAAACTTAAAATAAATACGGAAATAAAAACGGAAATGTAGAAAAACGCAAGCTTGCGGATTGCTAAAGCAAGTAAGTCCTACGTTATTATGTGTGGAGAAAAAGCTGCTGAACAGCTCGACCTGCTGCCCCCCCTGAAAGACACAGTCATTCATAGAATTATTGAAGTGAATGATTATATCAAAAGTACGCTGATAGAGCGCATTAAGATGAGCAGATGTTTTTCACTGCAATTAGATGAGTCTGTAGTCGATTTGGCCAATTTGCTCATTTACGTTAGATATGAGTTTGAGGGTACGTCCCGTGAGGACTTTCTGTTTTGTAAACCGCTACCAACAGGAACTACAGGAGAGCACATATTTCAGCTTCTGAATGAATTTATCGAAGAGAATGGCATCGACTAGATAAAATGTGTCGGAGTTGGTACAGACGGCGCTAGAGCAATGACAAGCTGACATAACGGTGTAGTTGCACAAATTAGAGAGATTGCTCCAGAAATGAATGGATGCATTACAACATCCACCGCGAGACCTTTGCCGTCAAGAAAATGCCTGAAAATTTAAAATCTGTTAGACTCTGTTGTGAATTGTATCAAAGCTCAAAAAATTAATTCACATCTGCTTTGCTCGACTAAACAGGCTCACCCCTCTCACTGAAATGGTGCTTTTTTATTATTTTTATTTTGTTGTTGTTACTGTTTTTTTTTCTTTAAAACACTTTAAGAAGCCACCTTTAGAGGCGCTATATCAAACAGTTTATTATTATAATATTTATTATATGTATGTGTGAGTGTGTGTGCACGCGTGCTCATGTTGGTCATTGAGAATTTCTGGGGTTCCTATGAGATGATGACTTGTAGGTGGTATTTGGTTGGATTAGGGGTGGTACTTGGTCCAAAAAGTTTGAGAACCACTGTTCTGGAGGATGGGTAGGGAATATTTCGACAGGACGACAAAACCCAGGAAAACCAGATCGCCTAGGAGAGAAAGTAGCAAAGAGCTCAACTGGACCAGGGAAGCAAAATACAATATTCAATGACCATCCTATTCAGCCAGCAATTCATCTACTTGCACTCTACAGCAACACCGGATAAGCACCCAAGATGGGTCACAATGCTCCTTGCAATGACAAATCATCATGGATCAGGGGATGCCTACTATGCAGGACATAAGCAATAGGAACACACCAATCTTTTTTAGTTTATGAATTTCCAAAATGTTGAGGAGACAAATGGAGGAAAACTGAAACAAGTTGATGACTTTAAATACCTTGGATCAAAACTGGTAAAGGGAGGAGAAACACTGGAGGCAGTAAAACAAAGAGTGAAAGCTGGATGGAACAAGTGGAGAGAAATAACTGGAATAATCTGTGACAGGAAAATTCCCAGAAAGTTAAAGTGCAAAATGTACAAGACTGTGATTAGACCTGTACTACTATATGGAGCTGAATGCTTGGCAGTTGGAAAGAGGGAAGAGAACTTGATGAGAAGAACTGAAATGAGGATGTTGAGATGGATTCTGCAGATTTCAATGAAGGATAAGATCAGAAATGAAGAAATCTGTAGACGATGTAGGGTGGTGGATGTGGTTGAGAAGATGCGAGAGGCGAGGTTACGGTGGTATGGACATATCATGAGGAGGGACGTTGAGGAAGTAACAAAGAGGGTAATGGAATTTGAGGTGGAAGGTAACAGAGGAAGAGGCAGGCCTAGAAAGAGATGGATAGATTGTGTGAGAAAAGATATGGAGGTATGTGAAGTGAGTGAGGAAGATGTGCTTGACAGAGACAAATGGAGAAGAGCAACCAAAGCAGCTGACCCCAGGACAGTCTGGGACTAAGGCTGTGAAAAAGAAGAAGAAGAAGAAGAATTTCCAAAAGGAATAGTTCACATTTACCTTGTGCTCAGTTCAGTGCTTGATAGGCATAGTATAAGATATAAAATAAGATAAGATAAGAAAAGGTCAGATTTTATTGTCTCC